CTTCAACCCAGACCAAAGTTTTGTTTTGCTAAATGCCATGCACATGGGTAGTAAGAGGCAAACTGCATTGAAGAGGTTGCCAAGCTACAAAGACAAGAGATTTTGAGAGGAAGCAGAGTAGAAGTGGTTCAAGGTCATTTAGCACGGTGGGAGCAACTGGGAATGAAACAGGTCTCCAGAGTGCCAGCCCAGCTTCCCCTGGATGAAGCCGCCTCTGAGAGCTGTACACAAGTAGATTTCATCTTGGCCATCAAAGTATGGTTTTTTGCTATTTAAATACTCCACAAATTTTGGCCACCTAGTATTTGCTTTTTAGAAAAGGCTAATTGCCTTTGGACCAGGTAAATCTTACTACCTGGTACACCTCCCAAAAAGTCCTATTTTGCCAAACAGACAATCTGTTGGAAATTCGGGGTAAAACTCAAGAGTTTCAGAAGGTAGGTGTCCGATTCCGGACAAGGCAATCAGCATTCAATACATAATTCACAGCAGGGACAAAAAACCCTGAGCTTTCGTATGCTGCTATTTCCAGTATTTCATTTTCACAGCCTCTGCTGGAAGCTCTCTCTCCAGAGTCACAAAGTTTTCTTGTTTTTTTAAAAAATGCAAACATTTATTTTATGGGCTGAAATTTGGTATTTTTTTTTGCTTAAAGCCTTCCTGCACTCATCTCTTAGGCAAGGATTTAAGCAAAACAGGTAAAAATTGGGGAAAAATACCCTTTGGGAGAGGAACCAGATGACCACAGCATTCACCAGGCCCCCTGTTCAGGGTTGCCCCAATTTAGGAATAGCCCCTGCTCCCGTCCATGGAAGTTATGCACCTAAATGCCTTGGCCTATACAACCTCCTTTTACTAATGAAAGGTGTAGTGGGTTCTCTGCCTCTGAACTTTCCAATGGGTTGCTGCAATTTAGAAGGTGTGATATGTAAACAGAAAACACATTGTAGCTACACAAGAGGAGCTCTGTACTTTACTCACCACACCAGCATTTCTAAACGTTACCGAACAGGAGGAAAATATTAATTAGATTTTTTTCATGATGCATCTGCAGTTCTTCAAACAATACCTAAGGCAAGCAAGCCCATCTATTAACATGCCATTGCAGTCACGGTAATTCTGAGATCACCTTGGTCTCCTCCGCCTTTTCAATTCACTGCACCAGAAGGCTGGAATTGGCCGTGCTGGTGAAGGTCACACAGAAACCCCTCAAGCTCAGGTGATGTTTGGTCCTTTCTAAAACTCCAGCTCCAGCTGAGTTCTTGAAATATGGTCTCTCCTACACTGCTTCACGTGACAGAAAGCATCCTTAGGCGCTGCTGTGTTGCAGCTAAAGATGATTATTTAGTCTTGTAATTTTCTGATAATGCGCAATTTTGAAAGAAAAAAAAAAAAGCAGCATTTTAATCACTTTTGACTGCTCCTGTGACTCAGTCAGAGAGACTTTCACTTGCAAGTCATGGGCTCAGCCTGGGGCTGAGGTGATGGTGATTGAAAGCTGCTTCTCACCCGCATGTTGCTGATGGCCAACATGAACTGAAGTATCAGTGCCTAGAAAACCTCTGCTGCAGGGGACTCTCTCAACAACTGCCTCAAGACAGAGACAAGAACTAACCAGAAATGAAGCCTGAGAGAATCTTTCACTTTGAGGTCTGGCAACATCGGGGTTGACTCACACTGGGGTACCAGACTCGCAGAAGGACCTCCCTCCCACCAAGCCTGCCGCTATGGGGAGGAAAGATCTTTTCTGTCCCATAAAGGATCTATGTTGAGAAAATGATCTACGTTTTCAAACTCATCACTTCAGAGGAGAGGGCAACACAGCTCTGCAGGACAACAGCATCCTACCACCTCTGCTCGAGGCATGGGAAGCAGCCAGCAGGACCCGGGTGATGACTCTACCTTTGCTTTCCAGCTCAGCGCCCTTGAATTAGGCAGGACCACTGGGCACAAGGAGGGTGCTGCTGACCGCAGCTGTCAAACCTCTCTCCCTGCCCTCTATTAAAGGTGGTCATTTTTAGCTCATGGCAATGTCCTTGTCACCTGCCTGGCACACCAAAAATGTTACCAGAGTGATGCCCAGGTAAGCAATGCAGGGACGGTGCAGAGATTCATAACTCATCCATGTCCTCAGCAGCAGGTCTGCTGGCCAAGGGGAATTGTCCAGGGCTGACACTGGCCCACCCATTCTGACAAGTATCACGGACTTCCCAAACCTACTGCGGAAGGTACAAATCCCTCTGCTTCAGAGGCATCTCCTGGGGCAGTGTTCCCACAGCAATCCTGAACTCATACTAAGGATCAACAGAGCTTCCCCCTGTGTGAATTTATGCCAATGAGCAGGGCACGTTAAATAAACTGCTTGTCATTATCCTGGTATCACTCCTACTCCAGCGAGAGGACTATTTTACAGTTTAGTTTATGTTGCTTTAGAACTATTCTGAAGATAGATAAAATAAAAAAGAAACCTAACAAAATTTCCCTTATTCCAGAACAGGAGTATCCCCAAGGGCAAGGTATACCTGTAAAATTATTATAATGCTTTAACCTCATAAGCACAACTGGAAACGTCTTCTCTGAAAACAAGTCGTAACTCTGGTTTCCTATCTGCAGCCATTATCCTGATAAATTTGGGAAGGTCAGCTAAGGTGTAATCCAATAAACGTGCTGATGTTCTGAGTAAGTACCTCACAATTTGCAGCCTAATCTATTATCCTACTATAAGACTATCAAATGACTCACCAGTTTTAATACTTAGTACAGATCAAACAAAGGAAAATATCAAAGCTTTACATTCTAGTTCCACCTTTCAAGGACTTGTTTGAGTACTCTTTAATTACAGCAGATGAAACATTCAACTCTGGCATTTTCTTTTTCTAACAGCTATAGTTAGAAGTTGCTGTAGCTGTGCTTTTCATGGGACATCCTTACATTAGGCAATAAACCCTGAAAAGTCTAATAAACTGAACAAATAAAGTTGGGATTTGGTCCCAGAGATTAAATTCAGCTGCTTCTGCCCACTGGATCGCACACAGTTATTGTAATGGACCAGGGAGCATCAGCATCCCATCGCTCCTGGGAACGGGGGAGAAGTCTTCAGAGCCCCCACCTGCACTTCAGGCAACAAGCCAGGGGAAGGAGGATGTGCACCGAGCAGCACACCTCGTCCTGGGAGGCTGATGAACTTGAGAAATCAGATCAAGTCCAGAAGTTGGGCTATGCCTTCTGATCCTCCAGGAACTCAAATACATCTGCAGAACTTTGCATGTAACCACTGTGATTTTTTTTATTTTTTTTTTTTTTTAACGCTATAGGTATAAAATAACAGCAAAGAACCGATCTATTCACAGAATGCCAGATCCCAAAGAAAGAAATATCAGGAGGCAGTCAGCAGTACTGTCAGCAAACTGCAGACTCCCGGCAAAGTGGTTACAGAAATTACGTGTCTCTATGAAGATGCTGGAGCTGACCACAGGCATTGCCAAGGAAAATGGTGAGTGCCAACCTCTTCCAGTTAGCTCTCGCAGCGTTTTGACATGATCAAGCGTTTCCCAGTGACAGTGCGCGTTCCTATGTGTTTGGCCCATGCGAACAAAACAAACAGGGGTTATTCGACACAGTGCCTGAGCACTACCACTGGTAAAACTTGTCTCTTTTTATCACAACAACAAAAACCCACTGGGACAAGGGCTGAATTGTATGTGGTTTACGTTGTTACTCTTTTTGACTGACTGACCCAAATCTGACTGTTTTTCAAGGACAAGCCTGTAAGTTTATGCAATAACTTTGGGCACGCTGCTAGAATGAAAGGAGAGTTTATCGGGAGGTCGCTGCAGAAGGGAAGGAAACCACACAGGCCACCACACCAGAGCCCCTGTGTGAAGATGGACACTTTCAGAAGTGCATAAATCTGATTTAACTCTGGTTTTGCTAAGTTCACATACTTAAAGAAGAGCAAATCTAAATGAACTCTGATTGCTACTTTAGTTCTGCTCCAAAGGTATCGGTTCTCAATTACTTAAAACAAATACAACAATGACAAGAACCAAAAAGCCGCAAACTAAAGAGATGGTCTATATGGATAACTGCATCAGACAACTTTCCCTTTGGTTCTTTTGACTTTTGGGGGTTTATTTTGGGCTGACATTGGTAAGACAAACACAACATATATATATATATAGCTGCATACATGCCTACAGACCTCTACACGTATAAGAAATTAAACCAGTCATGAGATTAGGAAGTGATGGCACTACACAACTGGGCACAAACACATCTGGGATGATTTTGGAGACCTCAGGAATTGCCCTTTTTAAAATGCCACTGGGGTGTCACCGCTTCCTCTGATAAATGGATGACTTCTTACCAGAACTTATGTAGCTCCACTCAAACACTACCTAAAGGAGTGACAAAAATTAGCTGGGCTGCTGTCACCCCTGCAGTCCTCGTCTAGACACAGCAGAGTAAGAGCAAATTCCAGTCTGCCTTGCTGGGCTACAGCTACCCTGACAGCTGAGCTACGATCCAAGCCACTTAGTCACCACCGATTAGACAACAAAAACAAAAGAAAGCAACTTGAGACACGGATATCTGGATCCGTCTGGCAGCGTGACAGATAAAAGCTAACAAAACAGAAACACAACAAAAAAAATACAAGTGTAAAAGTACTTGTGAAACTGAGCAGGTTTTAATTCACAAGCTATTGTTGGTGGAAAGTTGAGGCAAATGAAATGCTGTTTTTTGCAAGTATTTTTCTAGCAGTCTCCATGGCAATCTAACAATCGGGATCAGAGGCCCTTCGCTCAGAGGTACGGCAGCTTTTGAGCCGGTGCCCCCTTCAGAGCGGCTGCACCCTTCTCCCCATTGACAGCCACATCTGGATGCTATCAGGAGGAATGTGGCATGCTTGCTCGCAACAAATACCAAGCGGTTAGCAAATTGACTCCAGCAGTCGATGCTGGCCACCTTCCCACTCTCTGTTTACACAATATGCCACTAACCTGTTGAGTCCGAGGTTTGTAAGGAGAGCTGCTCTCTAGGTCGGCCAGGATGCTGGTTAGAGAGTCGATTTCTGCATCTAAACTGGACCGCCTCTCCTCAAGCGTCTTGCCGCCAGGATTCACCTTAAAGAAGAAAAGAAGAGTTCCAGTTATTCAAACCACTTGGCCTGGCACATGGTTTCTTACTGTCCTCATGGAGCTGCTACCATGCCCCAGCAATAACTCTCGGGTTACAGGGACAAACATGCTGAAACGCTATAGCTCTCTCCCAGAACCAGCAGCAATCCTCCATCACACAAGGATTCAGGCTGCTTTGGGGCTTTTTCTTCATGCATTTCCCACAACGGTCCCATTGTCTAAAGCTGACTTGGAGGATTATGCAACTTGGTGTGCAATCGGTTACCGAGGTGAGGAGGAGGGACAACCCCCACTTCAGCAGATAGAGAAGATGCGTTTTCGCAGGACGCGCGGCTGGGCAACCAGGCTGGGGCAGACTTGGAGCACCTCCATTCTGAGAGCATCCCTTCTGCCACATCCCCGTCCCAGATGGAGCACAAACAGAGCAGAGCTGCAAGCCACAGCAGCCAGTGCCCGGCCACCTGCACGTGTTATTATTTTAAATCAATCCGAGGTAGCTGTACCTGTCTGATTCAACACTTCTTCACCGTTTCCATCTAAAAAATGAGCTCTTTCAAGGAGGCGTGAAAAAGTTCAATTCATTTCTAGCAGATTCAAGGTGAAGGGCATGATTTGCAATAAGCGGTCACAAAACAACATAAATAAGGTCCTTGTGAAAAGGGCTATTACGCAGAAAAGCCCATGCCCAGAGCAAATACCAACCTAGAGCCAGGACCCCTTCTAATTCAATACATCTTGCTTTCTCTCTGCTTTCAAAACAGCCCAGCTCCGCTTGTACCCAGGCTGGTAGGGGTGCTCACTTGGAAGGGAAGAGGCATGAATTTTCACCACCACCACCCACCTCCAAAAGTAAAACCCAGGACTCAGCACCACAGGAGAGTATGTGATCCCCAAGCTGTTTTTCAGGGGCTGCACTGCAATCCTTGCTAGAATAAGCAGTTTAAAAGAGGACTCATTCACACCCTTTGTTTTGGGGAAAAAAAAAAAATCCACCTAGTCCCAAACCTCTGGGAAAGATCTGTGCCATACAGCCCAACCCAACAGCAGTACCTCCAGGCAGCACACAAAGGTGGGTACGAGCTGGGAAACATCTCCCTCCTCAATGTTTTCAGCGCTTTGGAAATTAGGCTCTGGCAGGAATAAGAAGTTCAAGAAAACCAGCTAAGGATCCCCATCAGGTGTGATGTAGGTGCTAGGAGCTTACCCAACTTAGCCAGCCACATTTAGGGAATACGCAGAAACCAAAGTTCCTGAGTCAAGTGAAATATTACACAGAGAAACTCTTTTCTCAACCTGAGTCACAGTCAATATTTTCCTTCTGTCCTACCACGTCTGACTTATCTGCAAATTCTCCAGATGGAGTCTCTCTGCATACGTGCAACTACAGAGCTCACTGCGGAAGAGCTCGCTCACAGCTCGATTACTACAATAATAAAAATACTAAAGAATTAACCAACAACTCACCTAATTTCAACTGTAAAGCCTGTTCAGACCATACCAGCACCTCCCCACAGACAATCCAGCTCTGTTTGCCTTCACTCTCACCAAGTTACTTCAATTTTCCAAGCCAAAAATTCGCCTTTCCCTTTGGCTCACTGTCTGCTCCAGATAGTTTTTATTTAAATTTCATTTCAGGAGCACTCGATCATTACCTGTTTTACAGAACTCCCCAGTCATCAATCAGACACATAAATGGCAAGTTGGTCAGAGACAGACAGACTATGCAAAGCAGCCAGGCTCTGATCTGCCAAGCTTCTACGTGCTAAGGCATTCATTAGTTCCTAATGATTATTAAATCTTATTGGATTACAATAAATTTGGCTTGACTAACAAGAAAATGGAAGCTCCAATGTGCTTTATGCAAGAACACGTCATTTAAATGGCTGAGAGTCAGGTTAGAAACTACATACAAACTCAGTTCTTCTTGCCTATTTTTAATATAGAGATGAAGTTTTTCCATCCAAACTATTGTTCAAAAAAAAAGAAATACTTTTCACAGGAATTACCCCAGACCATTACTCCCGGCTAGCTGTAGGCACCTGGATTTTTAAATCTGCAAAAGTCCAATTTCCTTTCCACTATTAGTGCACTTGATGGTGGCTGTTTGGTTTTTTCCCCATCCTCCAGTTGTTGGCCTATAACTACAGGGCAGCCACAGGCTTCCCAGACACAGAAATTGTGATTGCTCCACTCCAGAGAATTTTTAAGCTAAGCAGCCAAAAGCCAGTCTGGAAAAGGCGGGAGCTGGGGAAGATGTGAAGGCCACCCAAGGCCCCAACACTTGAGGTGATAAATCAAGTCAATGGCAGACCCAGGAATAAAACTCGAGCCCACGCACAGCCCGTTTGGTACCCTGACCCTGGAGAGGAGGGATGAGAAGATCAGCCGATTTCATTTCTGCTTCTTAGCATTTCTGGGCCATGTTATTCCCAGGTTCTCATTCCCCAGAACAATTACGCAATAGCTGACTAGCAAATGCTGCAGAACAAGTTGTAAGGTTGTAAAAGTTAAATGTCCTTAGGAAACCTAGAAAAATAATATAAAATAGCATGGAAACATCTCTATTGATTCTGGGCTCTGTAAAAGATTTATTTATTCAATTAAAACATAATCAACATAGATTAAGAGCCCAATTTACAAATGCCAAAGCACAATGCAGCATGACAGTGCCAACGAATAACGCTACCGATATGTGTAAGGGCCTACTGGGACAGGACTGGACTTTAAGTACATTTAAGAAATGGTAATCCTCGCAAAGACAGGTTTCTGCTTGCTGTCTCCTCCCCATCTCTACAAACCTTGCCTTCTTCTCCCTACGGAGCTCCGTATTCAACCGAGGGATGTGCTGCATGTGGAAACAGGAGAAGAATTTGCAACGCTAACTTTAGCAAGAGAGGGTTAAGTTATTTCTCTTCTCATGCTCTTCGTCATGACGTTGCTATAAAAGTTTTATGATATTGCTCTGGAACACAACCCAAGCACCAGGTCCCAAGGCACAACAGGTTCGCACAGACAGGGCTCTGCTCCGAGGAACCCAGACTGGTTAAGCTCACGACCTTGCAGATACAAACACCGGAACCAGAAAGAACTGCTAATTCTATTTCTGTCTGGATTTATGGCATTGTTGCAGACATGCCGCTTGCGTGCCCTCCCCTTCAGCCAGCAGAATATGGAAAAATGGGTTTAAAAAGAAAAAGGATGCTATCTTTGGCCCAGCCAACGTGAATTCGACAAAAAGCAAACATAAGTCAACCCAGTCCAACAAATTACTCATGCCAGAGACTATCCACTCACGTGAACTTCTGCAACGCCTACACTCCTATCCCCTGGCTCAGTCCCTGCTGCGAGGCAAAAGAGAGAAAAACAGCAGAGAGCTTCACTGCTTGGCTTGTTTGTCCTCCCCTGAATTCCTGGTGTGCAGCTCAGGGCAGCTGTGTGATGGTAATCCACTCCTGAGCCCCATCAACCTATTCTGTCCCAATGAAAACTGGCTTTAATTTTGCTAATCATAGACTCATAGAATGTTTTGGGTTGGAAGGGACCCCTAGAGGTCATCTAGTCCAACCCCCCTGCAGTGAGCAGGGACACCACTAACTAGATCAGGTTGCTCAGAGCCCCGTCCAACCTGGCCTTGAATGCTTCCAGGGATGGGGCCTCCACCACCTCTCTGGGCAACCCCTTCCAGTGTTTCACCACCCTCATTGTAAAGAATTTCTTCCTTATATCTAGTCTAAACCTACCCTGGTTTAGTTTAAAACCATT